CCTTATACCCTTCACCACACTGTTCTTTTCAGTGAACTAGGTCGGCCAGGGACGTACGCAGGGGGGCGGCCCTGGGGGCCCCGGCCCCCCGAAATGCATTTTTTCAAAGTAAATTTATGTTTGCAACAGCGATTTTTTTAATTTTGTACTACCGGGCCCCCCCCCCCCCCCCCCCGAAATGAAATCCTGTGTACGTTGCTGAGGTCGGCCTTCTAGTTCAAACGTTCGCGAAAGCTGAATAAACAGCTGTCGTTTTAGTTCGGTCGTTCTTTTAATAGTTAATGGCTTCATGAATCAATTTGCGTTTGCGTTCTTTATTGTCAAGTAACAACAAGATTTTTATTTACTTTTATTGGAATTGAAAAAAGAGGACTAATGCGATATTTTTTTTCAATTTTGTTTTAAAATTATTCTTTACATCAATGGAATTTCAACATAATCTCCAGAAGAAGGCTGGCATCGAGAATTGTACATCGCCATGGTATAAGAAATGAGCTTTAATATACATAAGGTTCTACTTTGCTGATGATAAAGATGATATATCAACCGTGATGACGACAGGCATATAAGAAACCCCCCTATATTGTCTTCAGACTACTTCCATCCAATCGATATGCATTTTTAGCATGAAGGCCAAATTCGATAGAGAATTATGGATGAAAGGTAGCTCATATAAATGATTTATTATATGTTTTTAATGTTTTAGAACAAGATGTGTTATTTTTGCTGTACAAAGAATTAAATATTCATTGGCGTAGTTTGTACCTGTCAAAAAAATAAAAAAGTGTCTGCAACAGATAAATCTGTCAGTTCTGTTAATTCTGATCAGTTTCCTGATCGAAATTGGACCAAAATTCAAATGTTTTGTCGGGCACTGTGGACTTTGCAGCTCGTGGTTCTCTTCATCGCTCGGCAGGGTTATCGAAGATATTCGAGTCCTTAAGTTTGTCAATGCGTTATTATACGCCATATCCGTTTTGAATCCCCTTCTTTTAAATCTCGGATCCAGAATTGTACTCTCTGCATAAAGGGGGTTTCTTTCAAAATTTCCACAACAGGCATGGAGATCTCTTCCTATTATCCCAACATTGCCGATACTTTTTCGTTGGTGGTGGAACTTCTTGCAATAAAGCTGGTTAAAATATTGCTCATAACCATCACTTTTGAGAGAGTTACATCCTTTTCGGCCGATACCTCCAAGGTAATTTTGTAAAAGGGCTTCAAAGCTTCAAAATAGCAGACGCTTCTTTAATAATGTCCCACTCATCCAAAAGTAATAATAAATCTGGTTGAACCAAAAAAAATTGAAATTATTGCGTCTTTAAGCAATAGTATACGCTCAACCATCTCGTATGTGGAGTTCCACCTCGTTGGAACCAACTGCTTCAATTTTAATTCGGGAAGACCCATCATTCGTTGGTTATTGAGCAGTCTCTTAGAATCCTTTGCGCTCCTTCGGAAGTGTTCCACAATATATTTCACTTTTGCCAAAGTATCCTTGATGTTTTTTAGTCCACATTCCACTATTACATTTTAGGAGTGAGCGAAACATCCAAAACATCCATTGTGCCTGTCGTATTGCAGCCGTTATGTTTGCCGCACTCTCACTCACTACTGCTGTTATTTTATTATCAATCTGAAAATCTGATGACGATTTTAAAAATTTAGTTAAATTATAGGCAGTGTGGTCCTTTTTAAATTCCTCCCAGGAAAAAAGTTAGACCTCAGGGTACAATTGTCATTTATAAAGTGAGCGGTAACGGCCATGTAACATATGTTAGTCCGCGAATTCCATCCATCCGTTGTTAGGCATATAACCGAAGCTGATCGTACTGCTTCTTTCACGGTACACAAAATATCGTTGTACACTTTCGGCAGCAAATTTTTAGAAAGTGCTTGTCTCGTAGGTAGTGTATACCCAGGGAACTGTGACACAACCCCTACTAATTTCTTAAATTCTGGCTCTTCAACTATTTTTAGAGCATTGTGACCTTTCGCTACCATTTTCCACACTTGCCTATCGATCTCTTCCACCTTTCTTACTGGTGGTGGTCTGAGGATGTACTGGGTTATAGTTTGTTGTGCATTTCGAATTTGGGTACTTGTGGTCGGGAAATCCACTTCCACCGGTGCAACATTTTGAGAAATCTGTATTTCCTTGGGACTTCCTTACCTTTCCATCACCAAAGGAGTAAGAGGGTGTTTGGTCCTCATATGTCGACTCAAATTCCCGTGGGATCCCCCAGTGATGCTTGGCAGTAATTGCATGTCGCCTGTGTCGACCCATTTTCTTTGAAATGCATCCAAATAGAACTATATTTTCTTTTTAAATACATATTAAAACTTTAGAAAAATATAATCCCTTTGATTCACAAAAAAAACTGCCTTCGTAGTTTGCCAACATAATATGCCAGGACTATAAAAGGTGCATATGTTTGTAACAGGCAAAAGGAAACGAGATAGACACATGGTTCTTTTTGAGAATACGCATAGAATAACTTTTTAAGTCGATTTATGCATATCCGTCCGTCCGTCTGTCCATGTTAAATTGTAAACAAAGTAAAAGTCGCATTTATGATCAGATTTGGATAAAATTTGGCACAGCTCATCTATTTGGCCCAAGGACGAACCCTATTGAAACTGGGAAAAATCGGTTCAGATTTAGATATAGCTCCAATATATATTTTCGCCCGATTTAATGTAAATGGTGCACCAAAGTCCCTATATATCTTCCGATTTACACGAAATTTGGCACAGCGTACTGGATTGAGTCTATAATGATGTGTGTAAAATTTCTTTAAAATCGGTTCAGATTTAGATTTAGCTCTCATATATATGTTCCCCCGATTTGAAGTAGGACCCAAAATATGGCCATTAGGAACAAAATTAGTATAACCAAACCTGTGACAAGTTTCGTTGAAATCGGTTCATATTTGAATATAGCTTCCATATGTATTTTCATCTGATTTTAAGTAAATGGTGCACCAAACTCCTTATGTTTGTAATATTGACTTGCAATTTTTCACAACGTATAAAATTGAGCATTTTGATGGTTTTGATATTTGCTTTAAATCGATTTACATAATTTTGTCCCATTGTAGCAAACGAATGTTTATGGATTGATCTAAGTCGGTTCACATTTAGATAAAGGTCACATATTTTAGTTCATCCAATTTCATGTTAATGGCCCTTCTGTTAGGATGCATTCGTTTAAGGGAACCCCACCCATTCTCGATTTTAATTTTTCAAGATTTTCAATGGGCTGGTAAATCAATACCAATGCTTGTTAAGGTTTGTAACTTTGCACATATATATTTGAAGATTTAAAAGAGAAGAAAAATAATTTACAAAAAAATTTTGTTATTGTTTTGTTGTTGTTTTTTGTAATTAAAGAAAAGTCCTTATTTTTGATGGCGGGAATGATAACTCCTCACTGGAACATCGGAGTCCGAAAATTACAACGATGTTAGAAAGAGTACATGACTGGCTCTCGTATGAACTAGGATTATTGACTTCGCTCCAAAATTAACAAAATGGCGGACCTTTGAAAAAATATTTTCGGAAAATCGCCGATTTTTGACCACAAACTAAGTTAAAAAATAAGGATGATATTTACCGATTGGCTTTATCCTAGTTCATACGATAGCTATACACTCACAGAGAAACGTTTAAAAATTTGGAATCGATTGGGTTATTAGTTTTTGAGTTATCGTGCCCGCCATTCGCAAAAGAGAAAAACGCGTTTAAAGTTTGTGAAGCCCTTTAGCCGTCAATTGATGCTGACACAATAAATCGGCTATATCTTCAAGAGTTCTTGAGATGTTCACTTGAAATTTTGTAGGGACATTCTTGAATTAGTGTAGATTCGAATTAAATAAAAAAAAAAATTTACCCCGAGAATGGGGGGGGGGGGTCCCCTTAATATACCCATAGTGGTGACTTTGCTACTTTCCCTACCACGTATAGGCGTCGATTTGTTAAAAATACTTTTTCATAGTCCATATATAGGCGTAGATTATATAGAAATATTTTTTCATAGTCGATATATAGGCTTGGATTTTTAAAAAATACTTTTTCGTAGTCCATATATAGGATTATATTTTTATAAAAAAAATTGTCATAGTCCCTATACAGTCCATATATTTTTTCAAGATCAATATCGAATATTGTTAAAAGTTACAGCATGTGCCTACTGGGATGACTCCCACATTTTTCACTTTGTTTGATATGGCTATCACTTTTTTTGGAAAATCAGATCTTTATACTGTGCCGCACATTCTTCGGAGTTAGTTTAAACGTGGAATCAGAGACATTCAATGAGGTACAATATCTGATTGATATAGTAGGATTTCTGTCAAGTATCATTTCAGTCATCATTATAGCTTCATTTCAGATTATGTATCTGAGTAATTCATGAAGCTATATAGACAGATAGATTATCACCTTGGAAATTTACACAGGACCCGGTTTGGATTGTTTTGGTATAAACGTGATCGAAAGAAGGAAGCGATAAACACACTCGCGGACTAAAATAAGCATCATATCATTTCTATTTTTATCGTTTTTAAATTGTTGACTATATTATATTATAAAATATTAATAAGTGACTAATCAAACATATTAAAAAACATATATTCCTAAAAATATAGTACAAGTCTTCTAACATGCAAAACCAAACAGCAAACATAAACAAACTGATAAAATTTCTATTTTCGATAATTTAAGTGATTGGCAAAATCAAACATTCCATTTAGTTTAGGTGTATGCAAATTTTGAGCAGGTCATGACATCTGCATGCGAAATATACTTAACCGAATAAAGTAAAGCTAAAAATGATTAAAATTGTAACTAGACCAAAAATCAAGGATGGATCGATCATATGTTATATTAAAATTTTAAATGTTAGTATTTTATATAAATATTGGCAAAAGTTGGATTGAATGATCAGAAATCAACTGAAGCTTCTAAGATCAATAAACAGTTAATATATAACAAATAAAATGCGTGCTTTTATCGTACGTTTATTTTGAAAATTTTTTCTTGCTATAAAATATTTTCATTATTTTTTTTTTTATTTTCAGATTCTTTGTTGTTTGGCCTCCGCCTATGCCGCTAGCTTTGGATATGACTATGATAGACAAGGTAGCGCTTCCTTTGGTTCTGTTGTGAATGGTGGTTTCATTGGTAATGGCGCGTTCGTTGATAATGGCTTTGGAAACAGCGGTTTCGTAGGCAATGGTTTCGGAAATACTGGTTTTGCGGGCAACACTTTAGATGGTAACGGTTTCAGTGGATTGGTCGCTCCTGCTGAACTCACAAAAGAATTCTACACCTTCACCGCTCCAGAAGATTCCTTCAATGATAACTCAAGCGCCGATCAGGTGGGTAACTCATTGAAACGTGGCATTCGTGTCATTTTCATTAAGGGTCCGGAAAATAACGGACTTAATGACGCTGCCCTTCAATTGGCCAAATCTGTCAACGAACAAAGAACCGCCATTTATGTGCTCAGCAAACAGGCTGATATCGGTAATTTGGCCAACAAATTGAATAACTTGAATCACAGCAGTGGCAGTCGTCCCGAAGTACATTTCGTTAAATACCGCACCCCAGCTGATGCTGAAAATGCCCAACGTGTCATTCAGTCACAATATGATGCCTTGGGTGGTAGGACTAATAACTTTAATGGTGGAGTTGCTCCAGTTCTGAACTTCGCCTCCAGTGTACCACAATATCAGGTTGCTGAGCCATCAACTACTTATTTGCCACCTCACAAACGTGTTTAGAAAATAATTTTCATGGCCTATAAATAAGGTCACCAAGGGAGGCCAGCTGATTATCGATACCTCTCAAGTTTGCTGTCAAAATGCATTATTGTGAATTGACTTCCATTATGAAAACGTAAACAAAGTCAAAATTTTTGACATTAGACTTGAGAAAAAACAGCTGTTTTCCGATTTCGATTGCTATCTTGGTGACCTTATTAATAGATCTTGATAATTTTCATGAACTTAGCAAATTTGTCTCATCATTAATTTTGTACTATAAATTGTACACGATACCATTTAGTAGTAAGAAAATAGTAATATTTACTATAAATAAATGTATTAGTTTCGAAATTTATTTATTTTAATATTCATAGCATACCTTTAGGCGCGTCATGTATATAAAATGTTTGATGCTGCCATATTGCCTTTTCTAAATATGAAAATGGTAATGGATAAATTCAATACTCCAACCAAACGATTTAGGGAAAAATACAAACATATATTTGGAACTCCTCGATATAATCATTCCAGACTTTACATATTGATTAAAAGAAAATCCTATCCTAACCGTATCCGATCGTCTGTTGTGTTCACGATAATTTTCAATTGAATCGATTGATTTTGAAGCTTTTGGAGACATTTATTAACCTAATCTGGAGTAATTTGGTATTTTGGCTTCTCACAGGGTTTGCTTGTCACGAAAAAATATAAATACTGGTGTTCTTTTATGGTTGCACCCATATAACGATACATCCCAATTTTCTGTATTTTGGCGATTTAGGCACATGTTTCCACTTAATTGGCCTCAATATTATATTAAAAATTGTCATTGAGGAGAAAATCTCTCTACCACAATTTGGAGTTTTCCACCGCTACAATTTAATTCCGCACCCTGTGCGGCGTTCTTACTTGTTCGTATATTGACTATTTTTGAGATGTCTACGGATTTTACACTAGGTGAAAAAAAAACATCTTCCACCTTGCCTTCCACATATCGATTGTAATTTCAGGTTTATAGATTCTAATTTGAGAGTAAGCAAGTAAAAAAATTTCTGTCGGTCTCGCCGAAAGATATACACGCTCAGCATATGGTTTGCGGAGATCTTCGAAATTACAAACAGGTGTATGATTTATCAATGTTGTTTCGGATTTAATGTCCAACAAATCGGTTATTCAATTCGCTTTAAATTAAATTTACAAGTTTATAAAATTTAAACCGTTTGTGGGGGAGGTACCAATGGGTCCCATTTTCGAACTTGCTCTAGTATTAGTAAAGATAATAGATTGACCAAAGTTTTATTCAATCGGACATTCCATTCACCTGATATTAAAATTAAATACAGTCGACGCCCGGTATAACGAATACTCAGTTTAACGAATTCGGGATATAACGAATGAGCAAAATAGTGGACCTTTTACACTGACTATCGCATATAACGAAAGATTTCCAACTTATATATAGGGTATAACGATTTGCGAAAAAAAATTAATGGGCCAGCCTTATAAAAACATATATAAACACGTTATTATTACTGTTATTACGTTAATTAATTCATTTTTATTAGAACTCCAATGAAAATTGGATTAAGATTTTTGTTTTTAAATAAAATTGCAGCACAAAAAACTTCGCGGTATAACGATATGATGACAATATATCATTCGTTATACCGGGCGTCGACTGTAAATATTAAAAACTTTGAACAATTGCAGGGGAGTTGCCAGAAGAAACCAACTTCGAACATGATCTAGGCTTGGTAAAGATAATATGTTGTACAAAGGTCAGTACAAATCGGATATTCTATTCGCCTAATATTGAAATTATAAATGTTAAAAATGTTAACCCTTCATTAAGGATGTACCAGAAGTAGTAGACCAATGCGTCATATCTTCGAACTTGATTTAGGCTTGGTAACGATAATAGGTTGTGAAAAGTTTGGTTCAAATCAGATAATACGTTTGCATGATATTATAAAATTAATTTTAGCACGATTTTGATCATTTTGTGTAGGAGGTGCCGGAAGAAATGAACCGATATTCCGCATCTTCGAACTTAAACTAAGTTTGGAAGAAATATTACAATGTACGAAGTCTTGAAGAGATCGGTTAGTCATTTCGAGAGTCATCGTGCGCACCAGCCAGTGAGCCGGACATTTGAAAATCGACTTCAAATTATCTGAAACGGATTTAGTCCAAAGAAACATGAGCCCTAAAACCAATATTTCAATGAGGAACATTTTTAGCGTAGCAAAGTGTTATACCCTCATTAGCCATAAGAATGAGGTTATAAAAATATCAATATCGGTCTACCTTAAGGTATGGTCTCACAATAACTGTATCCGATATTTTTTGATTTTGAAGACACATTTTGCAACAAAGTAGTAGTAGTAAATTTACCTACCAAATCTTATAAATATCTATGAAAGTTTACTCAATTTCTGGTGGCCAGAAATAAATTTTATATCCCTATGTTGGACGGTATACAAGATTGACCAGGCCGAGCGTCTTTCACCATGTACGATTTACGCAAAGTACAGCTCACATTTATGATCCCAATTGGATGGAATTTGGTACAACCCACTTATTTATGTCATGGGCGAACCCTATTGAAATTGGTGCGCCAAAACCCCTACATTTTTACAAAAATGTGTTTCGCCTTCAAGCCTCTTCAGTTAGAAAATTAGAACGTGCCTTTTCGACCAATATCAGCCGAAAATGTCAAATTACAGGATTTCTGCTTGAAAAAAGCGAGAAACCCCAATAAAACACCGAAACATTGAAACTTGTGTATTATGGGAGTTAATTTTGGTAGAAAGATATTACACACAATGATAATCCTATATATTAATTGAAAGCAGTAAAGAAAGTAGTAAAGTGAAACGGGACCGACTACATGATACCCTTCACCACTTTACTTATAAACAAGAGATGGATCCTAACAGACGTCGCATTTTTGATGGGCCGTTACACGACATTCTATGCTCAATTTTGTACGTTGTACAAAATTTCGTATCAATCTGACGAAAATATATCCAAATCTGAAACGAAAGCCAATCGGCCTTACTTTGGGTCTTTGGTGCACCATTTCCATAAAATCGGACGAAGTTATTTATGGAAGCTGTATCTAAATCTGATCCGATTTCTACAAAACATCGCATACATCAATCTGGATCTAATTTAATACGCCGTACAAAATGTTGTGTCAATCGGCCAAATTTTGGTGCACCATTTACTTAAAATCGGACGAAAATATATATGCGAGCTATATGTAAATCTGAACCTATTTTCCAAATGTGAATAGGGCATCCAAATCTGACATATTGCATCCAAATCTAATCATAATTGCGACCTGTACTTTGTGTACAATATAACATGGACAGACGAGCGGACGAACCGATAAATCAACTCAGAAAGTGAATCTATGTATATTCTCCTCTTACCTGTTACAAAAACATATGAACAAAGATATAATACCCTTTACCACGTGTGGTGAATAGAATAACACGTGCCCAAACTCCCCAAAATACAGAAATTTTGGAGGTTCCGTTATATGGGAACTAACTACAAAATTAATCATAAAATCATTTTTGGTACACGACTTGAAAAATTCGTCATATTGATTTTTTTGTAACTCTGCAGTGGTTGAACAAAACCTTTATGTCATTGTATGTAGCATATCTGAGCGAGTATTGGGTAAAAGTGGGAAAAGGACGATGAAAATATACGAATATCGATTTCCCGTCTTTGAGGACCCTACCTTAAATCGACATTTTTATATCAATTTAGAATATCTGAAGTGTATATGGTATTTTGTTTACGGTTCAAGGAAATAATAAAGAAAAAGATGAACTAGAACTCGAGATAGAATATGTTTTACAAAAATATTAATTGAAGACATCTCATAACATAACCTGATAATGATTTAAAAATTAAATGATTTCAAGAGTTACCAATAAAAATTCATCACGTCATAACTAAAAAACTTTACTTATGGTCTTCTGGATTTTTCCACTCCTAGATTAATATACTACCCAAGGGCTTTCACCCCGATTCCCCATTTCAGCTGATAATGCTGTTGATGTTTTCCTATTCGTCAAATGCTTAAAAAAATATTCAAACATATTACATAATGTGTCATTCATACAAAATTTATATTCTTTAGAATTTAAAACCACAATTGGCAACATAAGTTTAGCCCATTAACTGCCTCATTATCATGTATTTAGGCCAACAAAATTAAGAGTTCTAAGATTTGTTGTTTCCAAATTATTTTATGTATTCTTGTTTCCAAGTAACGATGGTCATCATAAATAACCATAGAGGCTGAACAATATTTCCATAAACGGAAGATTAATAAGCTCCCATTTAACAAAACAATCGCCAACCAACCAATGAACAAAGATATGCTGATGATGATGGATGTGTTACAATCATTGTTCCATCTTTGTATCTCGAAGAATACTAGCGCGTGTCCAACTAAAAAAAAATGATCAATGAATCGATAGACGCCAAACGGTTGCCGCGGCATTTCAGTGAATGAAAATGAAATGACCCCATCATCAGGTTGGTTTCTTGTTGGTTTTGCTGGTTCGTAACATTACGTGATTTGTATGTACAGATGATGTTGTGCGTTGAAGAGGTGCTCGACATAAGTAGATGAATATGAAGTATGTGAAACCTTAATGTCGGACTCAAGTTGAGAATTATATGTAACAGTGTTTGTATGTAAGTCATTTGAAGTTTAAACAAATATGTATACAATAGATGATCTCGACACTGAACTTATTCTTCTTCTTCTTCGCCGACTTCATCTGAGTCGATGATGATGCTGATGTTGTAGACCTTTTACGTATCAAGTACAGCTCTGCTGGAATTGAACATTTGATTGTCCATGCAAATCAATATTTTGGCGTCGTTGAGGTTATTCATGATGCCAGGGTCATGTAGCAATTTGAATTATTTTTGTTTAATGACAGTTAAGTGTAGTAATCTTATTGGAAAAGCATAATATGTGGTTGTAG